ACTGAAATTTGACTATTCACTAAATGTAATGCATTTGGTAGGAACGCAAATGAAATCTACACCTTGATACAAATACAAACATTTTAAAATCTTGTGGTAAACATAAAAATTCCCCCATGTAAATTTGCCATAATTGATACAAGGAACGGCAACGTAAAATTCTCAAATTTCCACGAATGGTGGGCCAGCTTACAGGCCCAAAGGTACTAGTCTGGAGGTAGGTGAGCTGGCCTAGGACTGGGCAAAAAATTCGAACCGAACCGCTGAATCGTAGATCCGAATCGAAATCGAACCGAATTTTCGGTTAACCGGGGTACTCGGTTCGGTTACAAATACCTCAAAGGAAGTATTTGCTCGGTTCGGTTCGGTTACGGTTTTTAGGATTTTTTTACCCCGGTTAACCGAACCGAACCGTATATTATATTAAAATTTATAAAATATATATTATCTAACCTAGCTAATCTCTCCAGACTTGAAAATTCATTCTCGTCTTCCTCACGCCGTCGGCCCGTCACGCTCTTCCCTCCGATTCATCCTTGTTCATCCCTTTGTTCCAGTCACTCAATCAGCCGCCCAGCCCCATTCGCTCATCCCTCTACCTCGCGAGACGCAAGTTGCCCTAGGTTGCTGCTCCGCGCGAGTTGCTCAGCCCCAGATTAGTCTCCGCGCGAGTTGCCGTAGGTTGCTGTTGGTGTCCCTGCCCTCTTTCCCGCCGCTCCTCGCCTCTTCTCGCCACAACCGCCGCTGCTGCAAAGGTATGGGATTTTTTATTTATTGATTTTGCCCAGTTCCACTGTCCGTTTGAGACTTTGAGGATAATGTATACATACAAACAATCTTTCTTTTTTATCTACCGAAAATTTTCTTTTGTTGGTTTATTGGGTTATTGGTTTGTTGGTTTAACATTTGTAAAGTAATTTGGGCAGATTTGGTTGATTTATTGGTTTCTGATTCATTGGTTTTTGATTTATAGAATTATGGTGTCAATGGGTTCAAAAACCAGTGGTGATGCTGTGGATTCAAACCAGCCATTAGAAACGGAAACACCGACTGAGCCACAGACAGAACCGACTGAGATAGCAGCTGAAGCTCAAGCTGAACCAATCGCAACAGCTCCCACAAATGCGATACCCAAACCTCGATCCATTGCATGGGAAAACTTTACAAGAATTAAAGCCGGAGATAGGGCCAAATGTAACCACTGTTCTACCTTGATAACTTGTAAGGGCAAGCAAGGTACAAGTACTAGTGCTATGTTAAACCATTTGAGAAGATGCAAAGCAAAGTTGGATGAGGTTCAAGATGAAGAGCGGCCGGGAAAGAGGATTAAGCAGGTAACATTGCATAGTCAACCTAGAAGGGGTAGTGATTCCACTGTTGTCAATTCTTATTTGCATTTTGATCAACCACAATGTCGTAAAGCACTTGCAAAATGGGTTGTTGTTGATGAGATGCCATTTAGGATTGTAGAATCTGAAGGTTTTCGTGAATGCATGAGTGTGATTCAACCTAGGTTTGGAATTCCATCAAGGAAAACATTGGTTAGGGATTGTATTAAGATTTATGAATATGAGAAGTCCAAGTTGGAAAGTTTTATGAAGAACCACAAGGGTAGTATTTGCCTCACAATTGACATTTGGACATCATGCCAGAATCTTAGTTATATGTCATTGACAACCCATTTCATTGATGAAAGTTGGAATTTGCATAAGAAAATTCTAAACTTCTGTCCCATTCTCGGTCACACTGGTGCTGCTATTGGGAAGAAAGTTGAAGATTGTTTAGTGTCCTGAAAAATAAAAAAAGTTTTCAGTATTACAGTTGATAATGCCAGTGCGAATGATGTTGGTTTGAAATATCTGAAGGACAGGTTGAATAAATGGGGAGGAACAATTTTAGATGGCAAATATCTACACATGAGGTGTGGAGCACATATCCTTAATCTCATTGTTAAGGATGGTTTGAAGGAGTTTAAGGGTCCAGTTGAGCGAATACGTGCTGTAGTTCTTTTTGTCAGGTCTTCATCGAATCGAACACAAGCATTCAAGAAGCTGATTGAGAAAGCAAGATTGAGCACAAATTCGGTTGTTTCACTCGATGTCGATACACGATGGAATTCAACATATAAGATGTTGGATTCGTCCTTAAGAGTAAAAGATGCATTTGATCTGTTGGAATGTGAAGATGAAAAGTTCACTGAAGAACTGACGAAAAATGGCAAAACCCCACCAAATGAAGAGGATTGGTCGTATGTGCGTGGATTTCTTCCATTTTTGAAGTTTTTTCATGACACTACTGTGAAAATTTCAGGTTCCAAGTATGTAACCGGAAATTTATACATGAAAGAAATTTTCCGTGTTGCATACAACATCCAATCAATGAAGGAACATTCAGATTTTATGGTTAGATCAATGGTTACCAAGATGTCTGAGAAGTTTTTCAAGTACTGGGGTGATTGGAAGAATGTCAATGGTATGATATATGTTGCAACCATTCTTGATCCACGTCACAAAATGCGTTGGGTGAGCTTCATGATCAACCGTGTGTATAAAGAAAGTGATGCAAAGGAGCTGCTTAAGAAGATTGAGGGTGTTTTGAAAACGATGTTTGAAGAGTACAATTCCACATCACTATTTGGTGCAGCAGCGGATTCCTCATCTACTCAGACTCGGTCTAATATCATTGATGATGTTGTCAACATTGATGACTTTGAGAGAATGTTGCAAAGAGAAATGGAAGAATTTGAAGCCGTTGAAGTTCATGGTGTGTTGAAGTCTGAATTGGATAAATATTTGGATGATGAATGTGAAAAGATGACTCAAGTGAGCTTTGATATTCTGTACTGGTGGAAGACAACAGGATCGAAGTATCCAACTCTTTCTCGCATGGCTAGAGATGTGTTGGCCATCCCAGCATCCACGGTTGCATCGGAATCTGCATTTAGCACGGGCGGTCGTGTTGTTGATCACTTTCGTAGTTCTTTAACTCCCAAATTGATTGAAGCACTTATATGCACACAAGATTGGATTCGGAAAGGTAATCCACCCATTTTTGAAGAAAAGGAATTTGAAGATCTTGAGAAATTAGAAGAAGGTATGTATTATTTCTATCTTTTCATTAATAGATATGTTTAATAAATATTTATAGCAAACATAATCCCTTTTATGGTTTAATTTTTATCAGTATGGGATGCTAATCTCTTGGACTTGGATGACTAGTATTGAAGATTTTCATTAAGGTAAATGATCAATTTATATTTTAGTTTTGGCATTGAAATATTATATTGAATTTTCTGAATATAGGAACATTTGTCTTTATTTGCTCTTCATGCTTGCATTAGAATTTGTTATTTTATTTTGTTCCATTTATTTTTATTTTGTTCCATTCAGAATTCTGTCATTTTTGCTTAATTTGATCTTATCTTCAGAATTCAGAATTCCAGACTGTCTGTTTTCATGAATAGTACGGATATGTTTCCATTCTCTTGTCTGGTGGTCTGGGTAAGCATTCATCAGCACCTTTCAAAAATCGATAATTTTAAGCATTCCATTCGAGTTCATCAAGGGATTGTGCTTTTGGTAATAAAATTAAATTCATCAAGAGAATTATTGTCATTATTATTGTTTCTTTATTGTTTTGCTTACATTAAACAGGTCTCATTTTGCCTTTGGCAGTTCATGTTTCGCCCGACTAGTTGAGTTCACTATGGTCCGGTACCTACTGCTTGCTTGGTTTCAACTTTCAAGGTGTGATCAATCCTTTAGTATTTTGTTTGATGATGAAGTATGAACTTGTAGGGATGATTAATGATTTGTTGGAGATTATATTAACTTTTGTGGGATGATTTATGATTTGCACTATACCTATTGGTTGTTGCTGTTTGTGGATGATTATTTGCAAACAGAGATGGTTTATGGTTTGTGATTGTGATTATGATTTATGATTTGCAAACATGAATGATTGGCTGATTATGTTTAATTGTTTATGAAGTTTTCGGTTCGGTTCGGTTCGGTTTATTATTTGCAAACAAGTAAGCAGATTTGTGTTAGGTTTGCTCGGTTCGGTTCGATTCGGTTAATTCACGAATAGTAGGATTTTTTCGGTTAACCGAAAATTCGGTTAACCGAGATTTTCGGTTCAGTTTCGGTTAGCAAGTTCGAATATTTACTCGGTTCGGGTCGGTTAGCAAATACCTCGAAAAACTCGAGTATCCGAACCGTGCCCAGTCCTAAGCTGGCCCAATAAGCTGCGTGACACAGTAACCCTTCCTAATTACTGTTCCTATTTTCCTCATTTTCATTTTGCTTTTACTTCCTCTGTGTGACGTAAAACTGATGCAGCAGGATCTCCAGCTCCAACAACCACAGTCCAAGGTTCCATTGTTTTTCCTTTCCTTCGGGATTTTTTTAGGTACTTCATTGCCTGAAATACATCACTTTCGATGACCTTTTTGATTACTGTTTTTTTGTTCGTTTGTGTGCTCGTGACCACGATTTCTAGTACTTTTATTTTTCAATAGCTTTCGATTTTTTCTATGTTCTTTATGCAGTATCTACGAGTTTTTCGTTTCCCAGATCTTCACTTCAGCTGAACAGTTTTTCACAAATTGGTTTTTTCCCGAGATATCAATATTGAATTATTGATGATCCGGCATTAATATGTTGGTGTACATGCATATTTCCTGTAAATGTTTTTTGTCTTGGTTTTAACGACTCTGTTACATTTAGCCCCCATTCTCTGCTTTTAATTGGTCCTGAAGATCTGAAACTTTTTTAACTTTTTGGTAGCATTATGTTGATTTGAGAACCGATTAACTCAGCAGACAGAACAATGGCACAGCTCCGTTACTCCCCTCTCCCCCGACACTATTCCCGCCACACCAGTGGGCCCCATGTTATAAAAAATTTGTTCCCCGCATTCGCCTACACTACTTCCATCTCACTAAAACAGAAAAGAAACCCAATCTCTCATCTCGATTTCCAAACAAAACTCGCCCCACCTCATGCCGCCGCCGCCGCTGGCGGCGGCGGTGACATCACCGGCGGCAACAATCGAGGGCGGCGCGGCGGCGGCGGAAACAACGGCGGCGGTGAAGATTCCGACGAACCCAACAAACCCGTATCAATCGATGGCTTCAGTCCAATCAGTGCTTTCATCAACGGGTGGCGATCTAGGGTTTTAGCCGACCCCCAATTCCCATTCAAAGTCCTCATGGAAGAGATTGTTGGCGTGAGCGCCTGTGTCCTCGGTGACATGGCCTCACGCCCCAATTTCGGACTCAACGAGCTCGACTTTGTCTTCTCAACCCTCGTCGTTGGCTCAATCATGAATTTCGTGCTCATGTACCTATTGGCCCCGACAATTTCCGCATCTATCCAGAAACCGCCATCCTTCTTCGCGGGCTCACCCACTAGCCACATGTTTGAGCCCGGCCCGTATACCTTGCTCGGCAGATTCGGCACGTTCGTTTACAAAGGTGTTGTTTTTGGCGCGGTTGGGTTCACGGCTGGGTTAGTGGGGACTGTCATCTCAAACGGGATGATTGCGGTGAGGAAGAAAATGGAGCCGAGTTTCGAGACACCGAATAAGGCTCCGCCTGCAGTGCTGAATGCCGTGACGTGGGCTGGCCACGTGGGGATTAGTTGTAATCTGAGGTACCAAACGCTGAATGGGATTGAGTATGTGTTGGGTAAAGGGTTGCTACCTTCGGTTCTTTTCAAGACGTGTGTTGTGGTTTTGAGGTGCGTGAACAATGTTGTTGGGGGGATGTCGTTTGTGGTGCTGGCGAGATTGACTGGGTCCCAGAGCGTGGATGAGTTGGATGAGAAAAAGCAGAAGCTGTTAATGGAGGTGGTGCAGGGTAGAGAAACAATTTCAAAGTGATCATCATNTATGAGAAAGTTTTGATATATCCGAGTTGGAATAAGGAAATTGATCTTATCTGGCAACTTGTGGTTGTGTGGCAGATTTGTTTCATAAAATTGTGTTGCTTGGGTAATAGTAATACAAATGGTTATTGGCATGCATGTTTTTGAATTAACACATTGATGGTCCAATCCAACAAATTTCATCTTTTACCTATCAAGAGGTGTAAAGACGAGAGACAAATTATACCCAGGAAAGAGCAAACCAATGAATGATGTGGAAATTATGCATAAAACTGAAGAGAAATAAAATCAATACAGCCCCATTCATGGACATTTGGTGAATCCAAGAAGCAAGCAAACATCAAGATGAATAAAAAAAATGTTCAATGGTATCCAGAGATTGGAGAGTGAAGCCAACTTATATAGGCATATCTTCACTTTTATGCCATTATATTTCTTGTGTGGTGGTTTATTCTATTTGTCTCCATGAATTATGAATGTATACTTATATATTATTAGTTAGGTAGTAAGATAAGGATCATCCTACTCTACTATCTACACAACCTTCAATATTGGCTTATTGAGTCACTCGTAGAAACTAATAAGCTAACGCAGTAATTAGGGTGGTACTACAAAAAAATGATGAAATTTCAACGGAAATGACATAAACTGGGAGAAAATAGGTGCTGGCCTACTACCATGAAGGACACCATGAAAGAAGGGAAAAACTCATATGAAGCCCAAATAGGGTTCCATCCCAAAACCAATTGGTGGAAGGAGGAGTAGCCTTATAAGGTGGGTCTATTTTCCCTATATGAACGATGTGGGACAACTCACAAGTGATATTCTAACACGCCCCCTCACTTGTGAGTCCTTCGAAAGCCCAAGCCCAACTGGGCTGGGTGCCCCAAGCCCTACTACAAACAAGCTCCCATAAACGGGAGCGTGAGGGATAAACAATGGGTACGTCACCACACGGTCCAAGATAGAACCTGCTCTGATACCATGACAAACGGGGGTTGACGGGTGCGGTCCGTGCCCCAAGCCCTACTACAAACAAGCTCCCATAAACGGGAGCGTGGGGGATAAACAATGGGTACGTCACCACACGGTCCAAGATAGAACCTGCTCTGATACCATGACAAACGGGGGTTGACGGGTGCGGTCCCAAGGACGAAGCGCACCAAATCAGAGAAGCCCAAATGGGGTTCCATCCCAAAACCAATTGGTGGAAGGAGGAGTAGCCCATTAGTCTTATAAGGTGGGTCTATTTTCCATATATGAACGATGTGGGACAACTTACAAGTGATATTCTAACAGGAAATATATTCCAATAGAATTTTAACGGCAATTATCCAACAGTAGATTTTCCAACAGTGGGAGAAATAAAAATTTCAACGGAAATTGCATAGTTCCTATGGTCAAATGCCATTGGAATTATCAAATTCAATCTAAAATTCCAATTAAAAATACATTCCAACGGAATATTTTCGTTGGAATTTCTGTTGGAATAATTCCAATGGAAGCTATCCCATTGGAATATCCATTGGAATTTTTATTGGAATATATAACATAGAATTTTCCGTTGGAATATAACATTTTTTTTTTTTTTTTTTTTT